TTAACCTTTTTCACTCCAACTCGGGTGAAGAACAAATAAAGTTCAAAACAAATTATGAAAAAATAAAATATGTTTGTTTGGAAAGTTTTAATTCTGGATCATATTTTTTCAAACACTCACACTGACCCTGGTTCTGCTGGAGGTTTCTACCTGTTCAAAGGGAGTTTTTCCTCTCCACTGTCGCTACAAGCATGCTTAGAGTGAGGGATTGCTGAAGAGTCAATGAGTCGATGCAATCAGCTGGTTTTCTTTAGATAGCAAACTTCAATCTGACTGGATGATCTGGTTGAACTGGAAAGTGTCTTGAGATGACATGTTGTGAATTGGTGCTATAGAAATAAACTGAATAGAATTGAAATGTCCATCTTTGCAACAATAATGGAGCAAAGATCCCTCCATGACCTCAGACCTCACCAAACAGGAAGTCCAGTTTCCAGCTCCTTCCTGTTTATTGATCCCAGTTTAAGGTAAAGATGTGAGAGCAGCTGAACCTTTAACCTTCTCCAACCAAAGCAGCTCCATCTATGACTACATCTTTATTTTCTTTGTTTAGATAATAAAACACAAACTGTCTTAAAATGTCTGCCAGTGTTTTCCTTGGTAGCGGTTCAGGAAAGGCGTGTCCCTGTGTCCCTGCAGGTGTACGAAGGCCTGGTCTACATGGATTTCAGCAAGCAGCTGATGGATGAGCAGGGCTATGGTACTGATCAGCAGCTTTGCTCCATCTCTGGCTCCTCGTTTTCTCCTAGCTGGCGTAGATTGATCCTCTTCCTCTGTGTTTTGTTCTCTCTCAGGAAACTACGCTCCCATGGACATGAGTGACCTTCCCCAGTTCTGGCTGGCCTACCTGAGCGACCCCAGCGACTCTGGACGCATCCACAGCAACATCCGACAGCGCTGGCTCAGCGGTGCGTCCTCCGCTCTAACCTAAGGTCGGACCTTTAGGTCTCCGTGTTGCCGAGGAAGAGCGCTCAGCGTTTCAGGAATACTGTGAAGAAAAAACAGATTTCTGATATCTGTGGGGAAAAGGCCTGATTAAAAGTGATGTTT